ATGCTTTTAAGCACCATAAAAGCAAGAGAGGAAAACAAATAGCACTATTCCAAGATTAATACGCTGCTCATAATAAAAGTATGGCTGTCACATTGCACTGTGTATAGCTGATGGAACCTTGACAAATTCCATGCAAAATGGCTTAGTTGCTTAAGAAGCTTGTTAAATAATTTAAAGGCAAGTTTTACTGGAGGCAGGAAAATTCTTTCCCAAATCCACTTTCTTAGATTTATGAGCTAGGAGTATGTTAATCAACCCGAGTGCAGGATTCAGCCGGGATGCTTCCTCCCAGCAGGTGGAGGGTTTAAGTGGGGATATACGATATGATAAAGTGCAGTCCCTGTGTGGTTCATGTCTGCAAGGTTTCCAAGCCACAGTCCAGCGGACATGCTTGGATGTAATGGTGATCCATGCTCATCAAACCACAGAGCACAAGAAATCCTCTAAGGGGGACTCATATACCTGGACAGGAACGCTCATCCTGCCCCTTCCCACCTCTCCAGCACAGGATTCTTCTCAAACCCAGACAACTTGATCACACCTCAAGATCCCACCACAGTCAGGACTGGCTACAAAGAGACTCTTCCCCTCTTGCCCTGATGCATTTGCACAGCAAACTCATCTATCAGCACAGACCCTCCCAGGAGGTACAAGCTGTGCACAGGGACATCTCCAGCCTGTACAGTCCCCAACTGGCACTGGAAAGGGCTGGCCAACTCTTGAGCATCTCAGCATGACAACAGCTCTTTTATTGCCTTGCACTCCCTGGCAGACAGAGAGCTGCACTGCTAAATCAACCAGGTAGATCAGAGCTATCATCCTTAGCAGAAAGACTCCCAGCTTCAGGATATTTATGTGAAGAATAACTTCCAGTGCCCAAGAGCCTCTTCAAAATTGACATCACAGGACAGCAAGCACAAAGCCAAGCTCAAAGTCAGCGGAGCATCACAGAAAAGCAACACCACACTTGTTTGTTCATTTAAAGGCTCACATAGGAGGCAAAGGACCTTCCAAATTACAACATTTCTATAGCAACTATGGTCCCACCATAGTCTTTTTGTTCCAGACACTGTACAGACTGTCTCCATATTAATAACCCTGCTTCCCAAAAAGGCAGGAAAGAAAAAAAAAACACCCACAAAGTCAAATGTAAGGAGCCAGTCTGCTCTAATACCTAAGCAAGGAGGGATGCAGCTAGGGGAAGGCTCTGCAATGGCTTACAAAACACCAGTATTCCATGTAGGCACCTAAAGAACCTTAGAACCAGCCTTCCAGAGCTGTGCTGGGGATGCTTTGCAGCTCATGTCAGAGTTCAAGTCGTGAAAATCATCCCAACAGCTTCACACACCCTTCTTCTAAGTCCACAGAAGAAGAGTTGGGTGCCTAAGTCTTCCATAATTGACCTCCAAGTTCCTACTTTCATGAACAAGTCCATTTATTGGCAGTTACTTAGGCAGACCAGACCACTGAAGCGCTACTCATAAGATACTCGTCCTCCAAGCAGCACAGCAACACAGGCAACAGCCCCAGTTTCGCTGTGGGGAATGATCAAGGACAGGATTTACACGACCCGCCTTCCCCATCCATCCAAGCAAGCTGTTCATGCCTATTTTTTGGGAGGGAAAGGGAGTGGAAATCAGCCTGGGGATGAAGCTACTTGCTCTGACAGTACCTTGCCATGCCATCACCTCTTTTGCATCCAAATTGGAAGAAGAGGAATCACACCTTATTTCCCACATAGAAAACTGTTGTCAAAACAGGGAACTGCAAATCTTTCTCCTCATCCCAGCTCTGTAACAAGAGAGCCGTGGCATCAAAGCCATCACTAGAGATGAAGGAGCGAGTTTTACTGTCCTGGGAGGAGCTCTAGGAGATGGCACACTCGAGCCAGTTCATTTTCTCCTGCATCATTTACATCTACCCCCATTAAAACTTCCAGGCAGCTCTAACTTTCATAAAGCATCTCAAAGGCATTGCCCTTCCTCAGAGTGGCCTGTTAAGCAAAGCACTACTTAACTAAGATAGGCATAAATATTTAAGGAGCCCGGAAATTCTTCCCCATCCCACCCCCATGCTCACAAGCAGGAAAATTTGGGATCTGAATGAAGCCACATGCTTGAGAAAGGCTGAGCATCTCAGGCAGGTGAATTTAACCCCAAATACAGCTATTTGGGAGGACCCTCAACCCCAAGGGCAGGCAGGAGCTAGTTTGTACACAGCATCTCACCTCCTGTGCTTTGCTCCTTGTGCTGTGTGTTCTGTTCTGCATTTATCCATTAATAATAAGCTGTCAGATTCCTGGTTCTTACCCATTATAAATTAATCTCTTTTAATTGGCCATGCTTCCCAGCCCAACTCGGGAACAATAGTTCCCCACAGGTCCCTTACACCACACAGTTATGTGTCACCAAAGAGTTAGTACCTGCCAATGGATGCTGCCACCCCTCTCCCACCCACAAAAAAAAAAGCCAATGGGGGAACAGGGATGTTTGTCACCAGCAGCATCACGATTAAAATGCTTTGGCATCGCTCTGGCAGCTCAGCATCCTCCAGCTCCAGTACCCTAACATAAGGGCAGGCTGCTCAGCCTATGCAACAACTTGCAGAAACTCCTCTCCCCAAAATCTCTCTTCAAGAAGGAAGGGGAACCAGAGCAGACAGGGAAGGCTGGAGGCAAGGGGGAAACCAAGGCACAAAGCTTTAACTACAATGTGGCAAGCGTGGTGTGCTCCAGCAGAGGAGAGGAGGAGGTTGTAAACCACTTGGAGTTTGATGCTGGAGCAGAAGTCAGGCTTTGCTGTTCAACTCTGTTAACCCCAAGAGCTCGAGCTCTCTCTTGCATACATGTATTTTGGAGCACGACTAGGAGGCAGCAATTTGCAAGACCCAGATTTTGTCTCACTTGCAAAAAAATCAGGCCTGCTTCATCGTTTATTCATACCCATCCAACATATGGTACCAGGTACCGGGGCTTGTTTAACATAAGTATTTACACCATCACACACCAAAACAAGGGTAGGAGCACCCAGGCAATGAGGGGCACAGCACAACCCTGCACACAAGCAGTTCTGACACCAGAAGCACCCCAGAATGAGCAGTGATGCCCCGGATGCACCGAGCCAGTACAGAGACCAGCATCACACCTCAACTTCCCAGGGAATTCAGGCTGCAAATATCCCCTTTAAGAGTCTTTTCTTTAAAAGTCTTAAAAGTCTTTAAGAGTCTTTTCTTTAAAAAGGATACTTTTCTAAAAGAGGGAAGCTTTGATTAAACCAAATTTTCTTTACTGCTCTATCTTCCCACAGTACCCCCAACACAGCTAAAAGACATTCTCAGAACTGGCATATTTTAGGTAAGTTCTACAATACTGCAAAATTCTCCACCCAGGAGGAGCAATTTCACCCCATGCTCCCCATCGCAGCCCTCTGAAGCACCAAAATCACACCCAACACCAGCTGCTACACACAGGAACATCCCATGCCTCTTTGTTTTTGTTTTGTTTCCCTTTTCACATGTGCCCAAGAGCTGCAACCACACACGAAGCAGAAACAGAAAAACCTGGTCAGATTTTGTACATTGCAGCCAGGATATTTATCAACCCCAAACAACCCGTCAACATTTAACCAGACAACACAAATATTATCACTCAGGACAAACAAACATTGTAGCAACACCATCGCTCCAAACACGAGAATCTCGATGGGCCCAGCAAGGTCCCCAACAACAGAGTGGGGACCCCTCCAAGCCCCTATTTGCACCCCCATTCCAGACACAGCTTTGAGAGGGTTTTTAAAATTGCTCTGACCTTTTTGCATAGAGGGCTCGTTCCTGCTGCCATCCCGTGTGTCCTCTTGCGTGGGCCGTCCCCAGCAGCTCCGTAAGTGTTTTTGGGGAACCCCTCACACAGGGAAAATGGGGTCCCTAGGTAGGCTACACCTCCTTAGTCACAAGGGATAGAAATTCAGGTGTATTTTCTACCTCCACAAAACGTTTCAGACTATATTTCTCTGAGCACAGCACCAATACCAAGGTTGCAAACAGGGAGCACCCCCACATCCATAGAGAAACACGAAATAGCTGCTGATCGCTCAGCCCCTTTTGTACCCCCAGCCCCACCACAGATGAGCAGCGTCACCGTGCTTTGCTCCTAATTAATTACTGGCTGTAGGCAATCATCCTTATTTGACTCCATAGCACCTTTTTTTTTATTGCTTTTCTTCCTTTTTTGGCAATGCTTGATGAGGTAACGTGGCCCAGGTGTTCTCCAGGTTATCCAGCACCTCCAATGCAGCGCAGCTGCCTGTTTACACCACCACCGGCCTCTTTTTATTATAAATCGTGGTGAGGTGCAAACTTTTTCTCTTTTTTCATACACCGACTTTTTTCCCTGCCTCGCGCGCGGCTGCAAACGTTCTGGAGATTTTTGAAATCCTAACGGTCACGCCGCGCACGCGGCGCGAGGGCTGCCGCGAGACCTCCGGCCCGCAAGGGGGCGCTGTGGGACGTCGCGCTACTGCTCGGCGGGGAGGGCGGGTACCGGAAGTGGCGCCGGAAATGGCGGCTGGTGCCGGAAAAGCCGCGTTGCGATGGTGGAGTCTGTCACGGTGGGTCTGTTTGTGTCGGTACTGGCTGGCTACGGCACGGTGCTCCGCAGCAGTGTGAGGCCTGCAGCCTCTAGAGCGACTCTGGTGAGGAGCCCGGTCGGTTGGGCCTTGGTGTCCGGTCGGTTGGGCCCTCGTGACCCCCTGTGCCCGGTGAGGGGTCTGGTCAGTTGAGCCCCGGTGCCCAGTAAAGGAGCCCGGTGGGCTGGGCCCTGGTGAGCCCTAGAGTCCGGTGGGCTGGGCCCTGGTGCCCGGTAAGGACGCTGGTCCGTCGAGCTCTGCCATGCTCCGGTGCTCGGTGAGCAGCTCAGTTGGTTGAGCCTCGACAAACCCAGCTGTCGGGTCATTGAGGCAGAAGCCGGCAGAGCCCCAGGGTGGCTCCCCCTGCCCAGCCCTGTCATGCCAGGCCAGGGGCCGTCAGGGGCCCGTCGGGCACTGGTGGCACTGGTGGCCATGCTGGGCTGGCTGCTGGCCCTGCAGCTACTGCTCGACTTGAGGGCTCTGGGGCTGCTCTGTGGGGCCCTGGCAGTGCTGGGCGGCTGGCTGGGCCCCCGGGCCCTCAGCCCTCCTGGCCGGAGGCTCCGGCTGGAGCATTTTATCAGCTCCCTGCAGCCCCCGCCTCACTGTCCAGCAGCTGAGGGGCAGCTGGAGAGGGAGATCGCCGGTACTGTCCACAAAGTGGTGCGGGATTTTGTCGCCTCCTGGTATTGCACAGTCAGCAGTGAGGCGGCCTTTGAGGCTGAGGTGGAGAAGGCCATGATGGGCCTGGCTGCTGAGCTGAGGCGGCGGATGGGGCGAGTGGACCGCCAAGCCCTGGCCCACCGCCTCCTCCTTCTCTGCGGCCATCACTTGCAGAGCTACCTGCAGGCCCGTGAGGCCCTGAGGGGCGATCCAGAGGGCGGCCGGACCCTGTGGCAGGAGTACAGCCGGCTGGTAGGGCCACACCCTGCCCTCTGCAGCCCAGCAGCTGAGGTGGGCTACGCCCGGGCTGCTGTGGAGACACTGCTGCAGGCGCTCGTGCCCTGGCCCCACCTGGAGACACGGACGGGACGCTTCGTGGTGGTGGAGCTGGTTGCCTGCAACGTCCTGCTGCCAGCCATCAGGAAGATGGGTGATCCTGACTGGATCAACTTGCTGCTCATTGGGGCTTTCTCTAAGAAGCCCCGGGGTGAGGAGCCACCCCCTGCACCCCCAGTGCCTGATTTCTTGCCCTTCACAGTGCAGACAGACGCCGCCCCTGCTGGGCTGCCCACCTCCCCGAGGGCCACGGAGGTGCCTGGGCGAGAAGCAGGGGCTGCTGGTGAGGAGGGAGAGGACGCAGTGAGCAGGCTGTGCCACACAGAGGAGCCCTTCCTCTGCCCGCAAGCCCTGGGTTCCCTCTTCCCCTGCGAGGGGTTGGAGCTGGAGTCCCCCGCACCTGATGCAGGCCAGGATATGGACTTGCTGGCACCATCGCCTGCGGCTGAGTTCCTCAGTGAACCCCTCCAGGAGACCTCCACTGTGCTGGAGGGACCAGCGACCTCGGAGGATGGTGTGGGGGACCTGGAGGAGGGCATTGCCACCAGCTTGGATGGTGGCCTGCTTCCCACCTCTACTTTTGCCCTGAGCTCCTGCCCTGACATCCATATTGACCTGGCAGTTGAGAAGGAAGAGGAAAGTCTGGCTGTTCTCAAAAAGGCCTCTTCGCAGAGGCCCTCCAGCTTGGGGAAAGATCTGGGGGCAGCAGAGGGCCCACAACAAATCTCCCCAGATGTGGGGCAGCCTCTGCCCGTGCTCTCATCTTCCCCAACGGCTTCCATCAGCACCTTCAGCTTTGAGCCCCTCAGCAGCCCCGATGGGCCAGTTGTCATCCAGAACCTGCGGATAACCGGGACCATCACTGCCCGAGAGCACAGTGGGACTGGTTTCCACCCCTACACCCTGTACACCGTCAAGGTAAAGGCTCCCCCAGCGGTCACCCCTTTTCCAAGATCCCTTGCCCTGCCAGGGGAGCGTGGGCTGGTATTTGGAGATGAGGATTTGTGTTGTGTGTGGCTCAACAACAAATTTTGTCTGGCAGCGGGGGAATATCAGGCACAGCATTTTCCCTGTAGCCATTTGGGTGTGGGATAGGGGTTGCCACTCTTGGCCAAGAGTTGTGTGGGGCTGGTTGAGTCTTTTGTATCCTGTTTTCACCTTTCCCTTCATCGTGAGGGATTCACGTGCTGTGAAGCCCCTGTTCCTCAGGAAGGGTCGATCTGAGGAATTACTGGATGGGACCTCTGTGGGGTCTGGGGACTGGGGGGCCAACAGGGACCACAGCACATCAGGATTGGTTTGGGGTCTGTAAGGGTTATTGACTGTTGCCTTACTCCTCAGTATGAGACAGCCCTGGAGGGTGAGAGCGCAGGCAGCCTTCAGCAAATGGCTTACCACACCGTGAACCGCCGTTACCGGGAGTTCCTCAACCTCCAGACCAGACTGGAGGAGAAACCCGAGCTCCGCAAGTTCCTGAAAAGTCAGTGCCTGCATTAGCTTCCTGAGAAAATACTTCTCCCTCTGACCCCAGTCCATGCTTCTGTGCTCTGAGGGTATCCTGTCTTGCCTGTGCAGCTCTGGATGCTGGGCTGTTTGTGATGCCCATGTCCTTGTTCTGTGCAGAGCTGGCTAGAGGAGAAACTTATTTCTTTTGGCAGTAAATTCCAGTGTTTCAGAACATCCTTGTTGCCATACAGATCACGTTTGCTTTTGTAATTTTGCACCTTAGCCATGAGTAGAAACACTGGTATCTGCAAGCGTCTTTTTTGCATAAAAGAAAGTAGAGTAATATGTGTTGAACTAAGCTTTTTTAAAAAGAAAACTATGTTTCTTCTTATGCTACTTATGTATAAAACGTCATTGAATTTAGCCTGTTCCCCCGTAATCCTTTGGTTTTGTCCGATCTGGGGTTTTGACTGGAAAACTGCTTTGTTGAGAATTTTTGGGCTCCTTGAGTGATCTAGAGTCCTTGGGCTAAACTGGTGTTCTTGGTTCTTCAACGTTAAAGGCACAGGCGATACAATAGCAGCAGAACGCAAGTTCTGTATGGATTTAAGGTCTGATTCAGCCGCCCTGGTTTGAAGGGTGTATTATCTTGGGCTGATGCTGGGCAGTGCGTAGTGGTAGTCTAAAGCATGAGAGCATTAACATTTTAAAACAACTGTTCCAATTTTCTCAAGCTTGCTAATGTGTTTGTTTCCTTTGCAGATATCAAAGGCCCAAAGAAACTGTTCCCTGATCTCCCATTTGGAAACATGGACAGTGATAAAGTGGAAGCCAGAAAAAGTCTGCTAGAATCTTTCTTGAAGGTGAGATGCTTTCTTGTGTGCCCCTGGGAGCTAGAAAGCAGTGCTCAGGACAGCTCTGAGTGGAGCACATCAGCTCTCTTCCACTTGCACTTTACATGACCAAGCTGGGAAATTGACTCGAAAAAGACAAAGTGGCATCTTTCCTTGCAGCAATTGTGTGCGGTCCCTGAGATTGCAAACAGCGAGGAGGTGCAGGAGTTCCTTGCCCTGAACACTGATGCCAGAATTGCGTTCGTCAAGAAGCCTTTTGTTGTCTCCAGGATAGACAAGGTAAACGAGTGGGAAACTGGTTATCTGAACCACTTACAGCTGCACCTAGACATGCCTCTTGGGCTTCAATGCCTACATATATGGCTGCTGCAGTAGCAGCCAAAAAAACTCGAATGTTCTCTGTGTAGCTGGGCACAGCTTGCCCAGAAAGCCATAAAGCTAGGAAGAGTCAGAGCCCATCTCCAAGAGCCTGGGGGTTATAATGGAAAATAGACAGAGCGCACATCTGAAAACTCTTAATTCATATTCAAGGAACAGGAATGTATTCAATAACTGACGGCACTGCGGGCTTTTGCAGATCGTTGTCAATGCCATTGTGGACACTTTGAAGACGGCATTCCCCAGATCAGAGCCCCAGAGCCCCACGGAGGATCTTAGCGAGTCTGAAGTGGATGGGAAATCTCAGACGGACGGGAAGAAGGCTAACAAGTAAGGGCTCCTTCTTGTGCTTTATGCGGAACATAGATTTCATGCGTAAACTGACTCCATCGTGGGGAAGTACTGACTTGGTGCTTTACCTTTTGTGGGAAACACATTGCTATTATACTGTAGCTGAATTGCTTTCTCTTTCACATACTGAGCAAGGGTATTTGAGTTCCTGTTTGGATAAAGGATTTTCTAAGAATGCTCAGGTTTTTGCAGAAGGTGGGCTTCCTCCTGAGGGAGCTGTGAGATGGTGGCATTTGCCGGCAAAGATGTTGATGCTCCTGGAGAATTGCCTTTTACCCTTAAACATGTGCATGACTTATATATGTGGTGAGTCACTGCAAAATACAGCTATAAGTTGTCTACCTGGAGGTTCACTCCTGCCTCTCCCATGTGTTTCACACAGTGGCGTGCTGCCTTGCCCAGCAAATGTTTGCATTTTTATTTAGGAGTAGTGTTTAAGGTCATTGCATGTATGTTGCTCACTGAGTGTTTATTTGGTGTTGCTGGCAGTGACGAGCCCCATTGTCAGCCCCATCAGTGGTTCTTCCTTTACAGAAGAAGGGAAGAGTAAGAGTATGTAAGAGTTCTGTAAGAGTATGGCTTTTTTTCTGGAAAAGTGATGTTTTGCTAGAAAAAGCTGCTTTGGACAAAAAGACAAACCAAAGTAGTACAAGTTTTGAAGCGTCTTGGCTGAAAAGGACATTCCTTAATGATAAACAGGCTACTTTACAATTTGTCCCACAATCCCAAATGCCCTTTCATATCCTTCTTTCTGTGTATGCATGTTTATAATTGGATTTCACAATCCTGCTGAGTATGTTTCTTCTCAGAGGCTTTTCTGAACACTTGCCTGTGTAGGCTGCAATGCTCACGCCTCGCTGAACAGAAATGCCTACATCTGCATGTAAGGTTATATGTAACATGGGTGCTGAAGAAGGTATATGTATGTGATGGATGTTGGACAGCCTTGGCTAGGCCTATGCGTAGTTGAGGAAAAGTGCTTTAAGGCTTTTGTTGCGTGGTTTTACTGCCACTTCTCTGTTATCCTGGGGGCAGATGCTTTTTTTTGAACCACTTTAGGTCTAATCAGACTTCTTAGCTTGGATATGGCACTGGACAAAGACAGTTGGTCCAGATTCTTGGCTGAGGCCGGGAAACTCATCGCTCACAGCTTGCGGAGAAAACCCTGACTGTACCGTGTCTCTCCTCTTCAGGTCTAGGCTGAGGTTCTCATCCAGTAAAATTGCTCCAGTGCTGAGTGTGAGTGAAGCGCATGACAGGATTGTGTACTCTATCAGGGAGGGCAGTTCAGTAAGTTCAGATCCCTCTTGCAATCCTTTCATGATCCTAATCGTTGCCCTGTTTGGGTGCTGGCTTGGAATAATCCAGGTGCACAGGGGTTGTGGCTGCTGCAGCCTTGTTCCTGCATGCCAGGTCTTTGCAGAAAGCCAATAAACAGCCCTAGTTGTGCTGTTGGCTGCAGCAAGGTGGTGGGAGGCTGTCTGGGTAGCGGAGATCTCTTATATCTGTTCAACTCTGGCTGTGTGCAGCTCACTGCTGTGGTACTAATACACTGGTGCTTTTGTAGGTCTCTGGCACCCTGTCACTGGCTGCTATGGAGTCCTTCATCCAGAAGCAGGAGAAGCTGCTGGAGGCAGTCCCCAGCAAAGCTCCCGAAGGCGAGGGAGGCAGAGAAAGCTCCATGCAGGAGGATATGGATGGGCTGAGCACATTGGAGCAGGGGACACATCTGGACACAGAGTCTGGTGAGCTCAGCCCCTCTGTTACTGCTTCACCGTATCTCCCTTGGTACTGCAACAGCTCCAACGTCTGCAGGATCAGCTTGCAAGGTCTTCAGTATGAGGATCTGGTCTCCTGCCTGTTGCACCTTGATTAAAGGGAAGGCAAACAGAGATTTTTCCAGTCCTATGAAGTGATTGCTCTGGTCTTTATTGCTATTGGAAGCAAATTGGGTCTTGGCTTGGTTGTGGCACTGTAGACCTTCCCCTTAGTACAGTTACTGCAGAAATAAGTTTCTTAAAGACACGCTGCTTAAACTGCCAATGTTATAAAATCAAGCTCTTAGAAACTGAGAAATGGCCAAATTATGGTTTCTTGGTAGTCTCAAATTAGCCTTGATATGTCCTTGCTCTGTAAAAGGAACTTTTGAGATTCAGTTACGTTTGGATAGATTTGGTGGAAATAGCAAATGTATAATCCCAGTTCAAGGAATGATGTTCCCTTTCTGATTGTAGATCCCTCCTCTGAAGCGCAGGGGTGCTGTGGCCTCTCAGAGCAGTTACAAGATTATTCTGAAAGCTAGCGAAAATATGTTCTCTAATCTTTGTCTTGGAATAGTTGAGCTGTATCAGCTGGAGCTTTCCAAAAATTTCACTCCAGTGGTTCAAGTTTGGCAAGCTCTGACTGAAAGCATGTGCTTGTGACAGGATGGGTCTGGTATTCTGAAACCTAGCCTGTACTACCAGCTTTCCCTGTAACACGCCTGTGGTTGCTTTGGGGGTTGTTTTGGGGCTGCTGGGGAGCAGGACTGGAATTGGAGGCCAGTGCTCTGCACAGAGCACAAGATACAGGCAAACCAAATTAGCTGCACTCTTAAGGAAGTTTAAAGTAAATGATGTCAAATGCCTGCAGGTCTGCGATGCTTCAGAGCCGAGGCAGGGCAGGCTGGTCTGCCAGGGTAAAGGAAATGAATGTCTGGGGAGCGGCTGGCTAAAAAGGCAACCTGTGTCCATATCTGCTCACTGGGTGACTTCTTGGAAGAGGTTGGCCAGCAGCTCTCTGATGAAGGGGACTTGGATGCTACAAGAATAAACAGAGCTTGCTGACGATGCTCTTTGTATGGGGTTATGGTGAAGCTAATCAGCCTGCTCCAGTTTTTGCACAGGGAAGTCAAGTTTCAAAGGGCAAAGCAAGCGAGGAGTAACTTATGCATGGCCCAGAGCAAGAGGCAGCAAATGCACTCGTGTGCCCTGACTTTTCCAAGTGAAATGGCCTGGAGTTAATTAGTCCAGCTCGTATGCAGCAGGGAGAGGAAGAGGAGGGAAGGAGACATGCTGGGGTCCAGAATCCCTCTCCTCTTTAACTCCAGCAGTAAATCGTGTGTGAACAGTCTCGTTGGCAGAAAGTGGTTGAAAGATCAGGCATCAGGGAAGGCTGCTGTACTAGCTCTCGCTGCCAACAGAGCGGACACAGTAGCCTCAGGTTTAGGCTCTGGCCTAGGAGTGGTTGTCTCGGGCAGGTTTGTGGTACATTAATAAGCTTGTTCTGCGTAACACCTATGATACTTTGGGGCCAAGCAACATAAAAGTAATTCTCTAGCAGGTAGGATGTGTTTGCGCTGTAGGCTTTGACATCCTCCTGAGGATGAGAGAAGTTTTACTGTCCCAGGCCTGTGTCGCCAGGGATATGTGGACATGTGTGTGGGTTTTTGTCTGAACTGATGCATCTGGTTTATCCAGATGTGGTTCATCCGTCTTCCTGCTGAGACTTGGACCTGCCACACGATGGCAGCCTACAGACACTGACCGGAGTCTTAGGCCTGGAAAACTGCACGTTGGAAGAGGGGAAAGTGTTGGTGAAGACTAGGAGAATAGTCCTCAGCAACGTACCTGTCTCCTGGCTACAGTCACTGCCTTCTTTCTCACCTGTTTTGGGTACACTGCCATCCCCACACATGTACTGGAGTTTGATAATCCCTTGGTTTAACTGAGAAGGAACCGAGCACGCGGAGCAGCCATGTTCTGGTCTGGTGCGCCACTTGGCAGGGAGGTTGGGGTTGCTTGGATGAAAGTGGAAATGAAAGAGCATGATCGGGGCAGGAGCCTGGGAGGGCAGGCTCCCCAGGCTGGCTGTGCCGGAGCAGGTCATCTGTGTGTGGCACAAGGTGTTAGGCTGGGGAAAAGAGCGTCAAGCAGGCCGTTGGGGAAAAGAGTGAGTTTCAGATAATGCTTTCCACCAGATTTGTTTAGGTGCTGAGTTGGCTTCTTCATCTGACCCTCCTCTTCCTCCTGGCAGATTCTGAGACAGCTTTGGCTGACCTGGCCCTGGACGTGCTTCGTCTGCTGCTGATGGATCACTGGAGCTGGCTGTGCACGGAGAACATCCAGAAGGTCTTCCACCTGCTCTTCGGGACCCTCATTCAAAGGTAAGGCCTCAGCGACCAACCTCACAGCTTTGTGAGGGGGCATTGCCTTTGGAGTTACAGTCTAAAATGGAGCTCTTGCCTGAACGCAGATAAATGCTTTCCGTCACATGAAACAACAAGGTTCTGTAAAGATGTCGCACGTATGTAGAGTAAACATCTCGGAGATTTACAGTAGGAGCTGTTTTCCCCGTGAGCAGCAACGTAACTCTAGCAGGCAGCCTCCTGTCCTTTAACAGCAAGGGAAAGGAAGGATCCAGCCCTGAGAAAGGGAGGCTTCTTGCCTCATGAAAGGGCAAGAGTGCCCAGTTCGGTGGCTCTCCAGGGCGAAACTGGCCTCTGCTGGCCTCCCGGTCTCTCGCTACCCAGGGGCACAGCTTGTTCTTTCTGCAAAAGGAGAATAAACAGGCACAGGGAACAGGGACTTGTCAAGTAACAGCTCGGAATGTGGCCTCCCAGGGCCTCTCCTCTCACTGATGCACCCCTCTCTGATCTGTGGTGGGCCAGTAGTGCCTGTGCCTTGGGCAGTGACCCACAGATGTATCGGGGAGAGAGTTCCTTTCCAGCTGGTATGTACTTGCCAAGCTTTTCTGAAGCCAGTGCCTCTGTGTGGTAAGGCGCCAGGCCAAGACACACAAACAGAGAGCATTTCTGTTTTCTTGTGTAGGTCGGTGACTATCGCTAGCTGAGGAGATGGTCCTTAAGAGTAAAAGGAAAGCCTTCCTGGAAGGACTTTAGCTAGGGGGAGCCTTGGAGCAGTGCTTTTCCCACTCCTGCACCCCTTCTTCTCTCACAGGCATTCAAAGCCAGTGTCAGAATGTGCAGGGCTGCACGTTATAACTGAGCTGGTAACTCAAGCTGCCCTTAGCAGAGGTTGCTGGAGCGCTTTGAGGTCAGGGGCTGCTGGCCATCACTCCCGAGTCTGTTTCCTTGAGTGGGAGGTGGGGGGTGTTGCTCCCATTTCTCCAAAATGGGCTCTGGTCTGTTGGGGAATGAGCTGGAACCCAATCCTTGTGTGTTAGCACAGAGGTATGAGGGCTTGAATATGCGCGTCATCACCTTCTAATAAGCTGTGTCCCGGTCGGCCGGGGAGCCTGCAGCACTGACACGTGGCATTGGTATTTTCCACTAGAGAAGCTGTCATACGCACAGCACATGCCTGGCTCTGGAAGGTGGAGGAGCTCCGTAAGTTGTGTTAGTGGAGCAGCGTGAGGGTGAATGTGTTTGTAGCTGCTCCGCTTCAACGGGCCTGGGTGAACCCACGTGTGCTGCAGGCAAACCTTTGGCTGGAGGTAATGTTGGGAAGTCCTGTGACTCTTTAGGGTCGTGATCAGGACAGGGTGCAAATACAACCTTTCGAGCTAACCCTGTGTCCCTGGGACTGTATATGTCTGTGCTGAAATCCACATCTTGACACTGGCTCTGCTCTTGTTCTGGGACAGTCAGGAGTCCCCAGGTCTGGTGTGAAGGGGACAGGAGAAGGAGTTGCACAGCGTGAACTGACCCGTTGCCAGGAGGATGGTGTTGCTCATGGATTGCTGCAGGGAACACTTTCCTCCCCTGTTTCTGCTGCTGTAGTTGCCACCCCAACCCAGAAAGCCATGCTTGGGACAGCGCTTCAGTCTCCTGAAAGGAAGGAGTGTTAGGGTGGAGGTTCTCCTATCTCAAATCAAGGGTGGTGGGTTTTTAGTGGTCCTGGAAGCCCATGTGGAGGGCTGGGGCTCAGCAGGATACTGCAGTGGGTGCAGGAGCTGCCCTGAGAGCAGTCAGTGTCTGCCTGTCGTGAAAGCTGTGATCTGGTGTGAAAGCAGAGTTCAGACAGTGCCCGAGACAGACATTCAAGATGAGGCATGTAGTTACCTCCACTGTGGCGGAGAATTGGGAATGGGGGGCGCTCCATGCTGGCTTGCCATTGTGCCCTGTCCCTGAGCCGCACAGAAAGGTGGCTGAGACTTGTACTCATGGCTGGCCCAGGTGGCCACTGCTGCCCTGAGCAGATCAAGAACCTGAGCCTCTAGCTCAGACCTGCTGCCAGCTGCCTATCCAGGGACACAGCGTGGATTTGGTGGCATTTCTCTTCCATTTAAGTATTTGCAACTCGATCGCTGCTCGGCCAGACCTGGCACAGCCCTGGCACTGGCATTCTGGCTGGCACTGCGTTCTGGGTACCCTTTACAGGTGGAGAAAATACCAGAAGCTGTTCTGGGAGCATGTGCTATACAAGGCATCGTTGCTCCCGCCTCTGAGAACAGGCAGACAAAGATGGGGCAGCAGATGCGCACGCATCCTGTCTCTAACTGTTGCTGGTCACAACATACGAGTAGGAATCATCCGTCCATGAGATGATTCCTTCCCTGTTCCCATCAGTGGCTGGGTTAGGTGGTGGGTGGTGGAAAGGAGGTGTCCTAGCAGTGTTTTGGGTGTTAGGAAGCGGGCCGCTGCTGGATGGATACCTCTGTGCTGGCTTGTATTTGGTGAGGAGCGTGCTGCTCCCGCAGCCTGCTCGCAGCTGCCTTCATGGGCATTGCTACCACTCTGCACCGAGTATGCCTCATCCCAGAGCAGAAGAATCAACAGAAAAACACCAAGAACAAGGTGCAGCTTCTCTGGAGAGCCAATCCCCTTCTCCTTTGGGGACTTTCTCCCTTGGGCTTGCGGTGCCCACAGCATCCCCTGCGGTGACATCGAGTGACCGCTGGTGACTGCAGCATTGCTGATTATGGGAGCTCCCTGCCCTTCTCCGTTTGCCATTCTCTGCACAGAGCATCCCACCACACTCCTCTTTCCCCTCTTCTCCATAGCTGAAATAGCTGGAGCCAGGCGCTATTCGTCTCCCCTGACTGTCAGTTTAACGGCAGCCGGGGAGAGGAAGGCTGTATGACCGAAAAAGGTATTGTTAAGTAAAAGGGAGGCCGCGTGTGCAAGCCTGCATCCATGCGGCGCTCATCCCATTATGTAACAGGGAGTGATCCTTTTTTGGAGTCGGGAGGGGAGGCGGAGAGGCCGGGAGGCTCACTGGGAGCGAGTACGACCCCAGGGCCGAGGATTGCTTCCAGCAGCCTCTCCACACGCTGGGTCCATGCCTGTAAACAAACCCGCTGCCCTGCTCCAGCTCCGCACCCCTCCTCTGTCCGGCTCTCGCTTCCCTCCCACGGGCTGGAAGCGCACACCTCCTCTCTTGCCTGGGGAGGCTGCAACAGAGACCTGTTTGCAAAGGGGAGTAGATGGGGCTATTCTGGGCTCTGGGGGTGTTTGGTGGAAGGGCTAAAAAGCATTTGGAGAATCCGTGTGCTTTTTAGAGCCTTGTGAGTCAAAGCGGTGTTAAAAATACACGGCAAGCACGCGAACCGCGCCGTGGCTGTGACCCCGCTCCCTGCCCTCGGTCTGTCCCCGACGGCACGATGGTCACTAGGTCAGGAGTCTGCCAGTGACGCGACGAGCCGGGGGCAGCCGTGGAGCCGGGGCGACAGCCGCTGGGTACCGGTTTGCTGTGCCCTTCAGCTGCTGCTGGGGTTCTCCCAGGCCCACATCTGCTTCCCCTTCTGGGAGGGGAGTCCCAGCAGAGTTCTAGCATCCCAGGGATGGACCTGGGAGGATTTTAGATGCAGATCCAGGTCTGTATGCTTTTCCTAGCTCCTTCCTGTGCATCACAACAGAAAGCTGTGGCAATGCAAACCACCGAGCGGAGGGAAGGTGTCTCGGCACACCCCGGCTGTCTGCACCCTGTAACCTGAGCGGCTCTGGGGCGCAGAGTCCGTGCCGGGGCTCGAAAGAGCCTCTGTGTATATAAGGGAGTGTGTGGACCTACGCAGGCAGCTTTGATGGTGTCATGTTCCGCCGAGCACGAGTTAAAATAAATGCAAAGCATCCCTGCCTTACCCAGGAGCTCAGCACCGCTTGGCTTGCCGTTCTCTTTGGGTCACTCTGGTGCTCCTCCAGGCTTTGTCCCCTGTCCCGTCATTCCTTGAGTGGTGTTCCAGTCTGTGTGAGACGTGATGGCGAGCCAGGGATGCTTTTGAGACTGATTACAGATAATCATCAGGCTTTTATGAGAGCGGTTTCTTGCAAGTTCTTCTAGCTCTGGTTCCCTTTGCAAGTCTGGCTAGCTTTGGCTTGTTTTCCTTGTAGGGTTTCCTCTCTTGAGCTGGTTCTCCCAAGGTTTCAGCCACTGCTGAACTATCATGGGAAAGAAAAGTCTGTCTGAGCTCAGATCCACCCCCGAGCTGAGTCTTGGGCTGTGGTCTTGCAGGGAGCCTGGCTCTTGGGTGCTGCGATGAGGGACACTGAGCCCTGGGGTGGGAGCAGAGGAGGGAAGGGGCACTTGGGCAGTGCACAGGACAGGTTTTGAATATGTACACTCAAATGGGGCTGAGTGGTCCTGGGAAGGCTGAGGCAGCAAGGGGTTGTCTTTGATCTGAGGCGCTAGATCTTGCCAAGCGTTGCTGGGGGTCAAGAGCTGGGCAAGGCCACAGAGGCATGGTCGTCTTCCTCCTGTCAGCAGTAGGTCTGCAGCATCTGAATTCTTGTTGCAGCCTGGATTTTGGCAGGGGGGTCAGTCTTAGGGTTTGGATAAACCGTTTGGCTAGGTCCCGGTCTAAAGAGCAAATGCCTTGACACAGGCGGCCCTGCTTGCCTATGGAAATGATCTGGGCAAGGTGTGGCAATGGTATGTGGAGGAAGCTGATGCCACGCTCCAGGGTGGGTACAGGGAGGACGCGGTTGATGTGAACGGTGCTGCATCCTATGCAGGCAGATGGAGCCTGTAGGGCTGTGGGTTATTCCAGAATTTCTCCTTTCCAATGCTGTCCTGCAATTCCGTGCGCCTTTGATGGGAGATGCAGGGCTGGGGGGAGCAGGATGTGTCTCCCTGGTCCCTGAAGCGGTCTCAGAGCTGGCTGCTATGGAGGTTGCTCTCTGCAGAGGTAAAAACCACCACCAGCAATGGGGCCTGCGGTCTCCAGGGCGACTGTCGCATTGCTGCGGCCTCCCCTCTGTCCTTTCCC